TCTTGGGGTTTTCATGAGCTGTAAGCCATAATCATGACAATGATGACCAATCACGGCTTGAATTATCTCGCTTTGCATGTAATGAGTCTCTCTCATATATTAAGTTTCACCGCATAAGTTGCATTAGTGAAATAAATGAACTTTGCACCATATTCTAATTATTCCAGTTTCATTCAGACGGTGCACAGGAAGTGTAACGATGACTACATAGAGTAAGGCCCGGTTCACACCTGAACGTTTTGTAGCGCGTTCAACGTTCGACGAACGCTCTACAAAACGCTCAAACATCTAAATCCCATTGTATTCAATGGGTCTGGTTCACACCGTGGCGTATTTCCGCCCGTCCGAACGCGATACAAAACGGCCTACGCCCAAAGAAGTATATGTACTTCTTTGGGGCGTTTTGGTCTCGCGTTTCCATTAGGATACAGCCAAGTAGCCCTCGGAAACGCGCGTTTGTCGCGAATCGCGGTAAAAACGTGGCGACACGAACCGCGTGACAAAGGCGCATATTCAATACGCCTAGGTGTGAACCCAGCCTTAGAGATCAGACACACAACAAGTCCCATTCCATTAGGTGATGTTCCCTCTGAATGTACTGCTCAGTATTTGATTATTTCCCAGATTGACAGAATACAAAACAAACACCTTTGGCTGAACTACCAGATCCGGAAGAGCAGCATTGACGACAAGAACGGGAGGAGCGACAACGAGAGATTGCTTTTCCACGGGACGGACGCCAAGACCATCGAACACGTGAACAAGAACGGATTCAACAGAAGCTATGCCGGAAAGAACGGTAAAACCGCTTTTCAGCTTCAATGACCTCCGGGACGTACACCAATCGGATATTATGGGGTTTGGCACAACCACAAACCTGACCACAGACATCGGAAAACAATCCGACGTCCAAGCGCAATCCAACTTCCTCCTGATGACCTAAGCCCCGTGCTTGTCCCATAAGCAGGAGAGCGCTCAGGTCACCCCAAACGTTCCTGAATAGGGAAACCGCCATCAGAAAAGGGTTTGCTGGCCTTAGATAAGCATTTGTTTTGTGGGTGTAGCAAAAATTGTGGTGGGGGGTGTTGTGTAGTTAAAAGTGGGCGTGGTCATTAGAGTCATTTGATTTGAGGAATCTGGTAACCTTACTATGGCACTAACCCAACGCTGTGTCTACCAAATGTGTCAGCACATTTTTAATAATACATTCGATCCAATGCAGCAAGAAATTACATAATAGGTGGGACACCTCCCGATCTACTGAGCCGACCTGTGACAGTCTCATTGTCACAGGTCGGCTAGAACTGAGTGAAAAGCACCCCCCCTCATAGTTCTCCTTTAAAGGAACGTTCCTATAAACCTAAAAGGTCCTGGGGGGTGGGGGGATTATTTTAAATGACTGCGGGATGTTCATAGATAACACTTTACCCTCACCGAGCATAACGATTCTTTTCTTTATTATACAGATGCGAAGATCGGGAAGGGGACGTACTTTGCTGCTGAAGCAATTTATTCCTCGGATGACACATACTCCTTACCTGACCCATCCAGCGGCCATAAGCACATGTACCTGGCCCGGGTCCTCACCGGCATCTTCTGCGTGGGACGTGCCAATATGGTTGCCCCTCCACCCAAGGATCAGACCAACCCCACCGACCTGCACGACAGCGTAGCAGACAGCACCGCAAATCCCACAGTGTTTGCCATATTTAGTGACATCCAGGCCTATCCCGAGTACCTCATCACCTTCACCTACTGACCTCCACAAGACACAGCAAGTGACAAATTTCACGTGGGATCGGCCTCCCGGCACTCCCGGCTTCTGCCATAAGTATGCGCAGCATGCTTAAACATTACGCCGGACCGACCTGCCATAGAAGGCCGAAATGTCACTCGTAGCTGCTGCTGACCTCTCTGCTGGGTCTTCTTCCTGGTTGGGCATCTTGATTGGCTCTTCCTGCCTCCATCTTGTCCTGTGCTCGTGTGAGGTGCGGGAAGGGTTTTGAGCCATGAAGTGGGGTGACTGCATTTTGAGGGGGGGAGGGGGTAACTATATATGAGGCGGCATCACCATTTTTGACTGAGAAAGATCTTAGCTCTCCCAACACTGACCCCCCCGACCTCATACTTACCTGCCAGATCGTCACATGACAAACCACACCTCCTAATTAAATAAGCCACGCCCCTTTACTCGTCTTAGACATGCACATTTATTGGGGCTACTTTACCACCCCGGGAGGACTCTGCCTGGGCTGATATCTCTGGTACTCTGATCGTGCCGAGGGATGCCGCGGTGTCATTCCGAGGACGGGATACATGCGTATTGGATGGAACTCAGATCTTATATCTCTGCTTCTTAATTTGTATCTCTTTATGATGGAAAATCTCTTCCAATAACCCTCGATGTGAATCCATTTCCACATGAAAATTAATATGTGAGTCACGCCTAAACATGAACTTATGATTTCTTAGCGGACCTCCCTGTACATGGAAGTGATAAGTCTGTACATGGAAGTGATAAGTCTGTACATGGAAGTGATAAGTCACGCTCACACCGCTGTGCCATGTATAAGATTTACATTGATATGAACTGTTATAATAAGTGTATCTTAAACATCAGCGGTCCTCTAAGGGGAATATTTACCACCATTATAATGTATATTGGGGGGAATTTATCAAGACTGCAGCAAACAGAATCTGGAGCAGTTGCTCATGGCAACCAATCAGCTTCTCCCTCTCATTTTCAAATCTTACCTGAGCAAACTGAAGATAGAAGCTGATTGGTTGCCACGGGATACTGCTCCAGATTCTGTCTGCTCCAGTTTTTATCAATCCCCCCC